ATTTAAGAACTGGCTAATTGTTCAAAAAGCACATTTTTCTAAAACTGATAAAAATTGGACCAGAATGATGTCTGAATGAAGCCACACAGTCGAAAATCATCGCATTGCTGAATTTTTACACAATAGTTTTATTGTGGCAGTTTCGATTAAGACAGTTTTAGAAAAGTGTTTTAGAATGAAATCAAATTGCAAATGCAGAAGGCTATTGCTCCTCAGGGTAGTTTACCATTCCCTGGTAAATTGACTGTTAGAAATATACGACTTGTAAGGCAATGTTTGTGCCAAGGTAAAATAACCGTAGTACCGGCAGCTTTTACGATAACGAGCTACATGTACCAACCTCAAAAATACAAATGTTTCCACAAAAGAAACAACGCGCTTTGAGAGAGAATTATTTCTACTTGGTTACTTTAAAATGATCGTAGACCCACATGGTTTTACATTTTCATAAATCTTTCCTTGTTCTTTGTAGGTCTTTGGCTTGTATCTCACAAGCATACTACATCCTTTTAAGATAATGAAATTAATCCCACTGCTCAAGAACGCATTTTCCCCGAAGTTAAAATGCAAGAGACGCTTACGTCCGTTCACATGGTTTAAGCATGGGGAAAATAATGCGAGCTTCAAAACTTATACCAATAGTGTTTGTTTGAGTTCGGAACTCAGTAGAGTAAGTAGGTTGTTAGAACACTGTTCACAGGCCCAGGGAAGTTTGGTATTTGCATTTTTCGCGCCCAGATTCTGTATAGGGATAAAAATCATATACATGTAATTTCAGCTTAATGATATTTTGGCAGGTTCACGTTCACGTTACAATATGAAAGTTCACGGTCAACTAAAAAATCATTAAACCAGTTGAATTACTATATATATATATATATATATATATATATATATATATATATATATATATATATATATATATATATACTATAATGTTTAAATTTATCAATCCTAAATATTGTGACCACAACCCAATTATGTGAACGGGCTTGATCAAGTTAAATGGAGAAGCAGACAATGCTTCGACCTAACACAAGGTTGAAAATGCTTTTTTATCTATTGTGATCTCCTGAGGATCAAGGCTGAGCGAATAAACGTGTAACTGGATATTACTTAAAATGTTCCAGAACGTTTATAATCACTTTTGTGATTTGGGCACCAGCGAAGCGAGCCTAGAATCCAACCACACTAGGACGAAGGAAATATCAAATTAGTACGTCAACACATGTGATCGTTTCAGCATATACGTAGGAAAAATAAAATGGTGAGGTGGCTGTATCGAGAAAAAGACAAAATTGTCGCATTTAGCCTCCACCCCATCCCCTCCTGGGCAAATTTTGGCAAATTGAAATATAAAATGCAGTTGCAAATGTGATAAGCGAACACACAATGATAGCCATGTACTTGGACACACTGTGCGCACTTGCTGGCTGAGATTCTGAGATTTACCAGCAACAAGGCGCCACCGCTTAACCCTGGGAGCACGGAGACCTGTAAGGTGAAGAGCGCTGGGGTCAGTCAGGTGCCTCATACTTAAAGTTAGGCCATCAGTGTTGTTTATAACCATGTTAAAACCATGGCTTAACTGGTAAAAAACACGGTATTTCTCGCCAGATGAGGAGTAAAGCACCCCATTTTTCTTTACATGTCCAAAAAGCTGGTGGTTTGTCTTTTTTTTTTTTTTTTTTTTTTTTTTTGGGGGGGGGGGGGGGGGTAGGGTACAACAAAATGAATGAATAAAAATAGGCCTGTTAAGGACTGTTTCTAATGGAAACTGTGACCAATGAGAATGTCGAAAAAGTGTCAATCTAGAAACATTGTTTTTCTAGGCGTTCGATGGTTCTGGATGTTTTGAGCCTTTTAAATCGTGTCCTACGTCAATTTGCTAAATTCTGATTATTCTCTGATATGGCCATTCGAGTGTGAAAGCTGAATCCCACCACCTGCACAGCTCAATAAAAATGGTGTTAGAAGAGATCTATGGTGTTTCGCAACTATAAACCCAACTATAAACACAATTATGTATAGTCTGGGGAATAGACTTAATGCCACACTAAGAAATGTGATAAACCCACTCTTCCCTTTATAATCGGGGAATAGACATTGAATCAGGTGTTGATCTCAACGAGGTGTGTATGTAATAACTGTCAGAATTTAGGGAAAAAAGCTTACATTGTACCGACATAAAGCCGTCTCTCAGCTGATCTCTCGCGGTGTTCGCTAATTGCGGCAAGGAGTGGCACCGCCCGAGATGAGCTAGGTCAAGAAGGTATGAAGTGCCTGGCGGTACGTTAGTTCACGCACAGACAGCGATGAGCATAAAAACCTGGAAGCATAACCCTCTGCCGCCTCGAGCGGTTATGCAAGATTGCTGATACCGAGTATCTCTTCTGACGATATCACTCCAAAGAATACTCAAGTTTACAAGTGCGTATCACCTCCCTTTTTATTCAAATATCTAACGAATAGAAATCTTCAGTGTTTCTCTAATTCTATTGCTTTGGAATTCACTCGCAGCTTTTCTCCACTAAAATTGCAAGATTGAATTAACAGCAATAAAATATGATTAATCTTTTCAATACATGAAACGCCAATACAATTAAAGACAACTGCGCCCAGTGAATGTTCAACATGGTGTTTCAAGTTTCTACAACGCCTCGGGGCTATAGCAAACATGTACCTTACGGTATAGCAGAAGGACATAGGCGGTGAACGTATCGATTACTGATTTCCTCAGAAACCTACACAATTTCCGAGATTTCGGATATTCTGATAAAATCGTATTTAATAACTTGTCTTGAGGTAGAAAATCTGATATGCGAAAGAGTTTAGTCACAAATAGATGGCACGATAAAGAATTTGAATATTGACCAGTGGACTATGCGTTCACATAGAGTATTTCATATAGACAAGTAGGCCTACATGTATGTTATCGTGTAAGAGTGGCGGTAGATGCTGCCGCATTTTTCGCGGTGCTTGCATTAAATGAAGTTCAATAATGTTATAAGTTCAGTATGCACCACACACTATTGTACAATTTGAAAAGGGATTTTCAAATGCATTTCCTAACATTTCTAAAAGGTATTTTCAATTTTTCTTTTCTCATCAAATTTACGACCTACATGTAGGGCCTACTGTTGTACCAAAATTCTGCCGAAAATAATTCTCACACGTGACTTTCCATGGGGCGGCGGGGGGGGGGGGGGGGGGAAAGGGGGGGAGGGGGGGGGGAGGGAAGAGA